GGAAAGGAAAAGAAAAGGGGCCAGGGATATACAGTGGTGCTGTGCCTGCATTGCAAGTACAAGGTCATGAGTTCTTTCCACACAGATAACCACCCCTCGTTCTCACTTCTCACAAAACATCAGCAGTCTACTTTCATACCATTGGATACAACTGAAAACTTTATCATTTATTCCATGTTCCTCAGAGTCCCATGATACAAAAAATTGTTGAAAGTATTTGGGGGGCTCTGCAGTCCTTGTCTATTCCCCTGATTAAATTTGGGGATAGAGACAAGCATCTCTTTCTTTAATCCCACATAGACTACCTGGGATTGTGGCCCTAAAGATTCTGAAATGAACTAAGGAGGTGCAGGAACTCATCCATAGCCACACCACACATGTAGATCAGATCAACTGTGACATCACTGACAAACAGTATCACACAGAATACACAAAATAAAAGGAACATTAGTACAAATATCTTACTAAGTTTTACGTAATTAATAGTTGGTATAATATTTTTAACAAAGCAGAGATACACTCTCATGAAACACCTTCATGGTTATTAGGGTTATACACTTCCTTGTAACTAATAACAGCAGTCATATAGGAGGCATGCTGAAGAATGCAAACCTTTAAAATGCATAAACGGGTTTAATAAGTCAGATACGGTGGCATATGCCTGTAATCCCAGCTGCTTGGGAGGCTGAGACAGGAGGATTGCCAAGTTGGAGGCCAGCGCAGACAATTTAGCAAGACTCCATCTCAAAATAAAATTTAAAATGGCTGGTGATATAGTTCAATGGGGATAGATCTCTTGTCTAGCCTGGGAGGGACTGGTTTCAAATCCCACCACCACCACCACCACTTGGTTTCATAATGTAATATTCTTGGGGCACTCAGGATTAAACCCAGGGCCCTTTACACTGAGCTACACCCCCAATCTGCTTTTTATTTTGAGACCCAGTCTCACCAAGTTCCTAAGCAGCCCAGACTGGGCTTGAACTTGAGATCTTCCTGTGCCATCCTCCCAGAGTTCTGGGTTTATAGGCCTGTGCTACCAGGCTATGCTGAGTTTCAGTCTTGGGACTAGAACTTCCTTTAGAATTGTTTTTCTTTTCTCAAACTCGGATCCTTGTGCTTGCAAGGCAGGTGGTAGAATCACTGAGATAAATCCTCAGCCCTCCTTATAGAAATGTTAAATCACATCTACTATGAAGTAAGAGCTGCATTATTTCTTGAATTAATTTGTGTGTGAAATATAGGGTGTACCCTGTAGGAAAAGTTAGGATACTAATAATGGTTTTCCAGTATAGTTAGGAATTGTTAGTTTCATTCCAGTCTGGTCACATTTAGTATCTTCAGTAGTATTAGAATTATTATCAGTTAAGTGTTCTAGTAATAAAAACCATATTTTATCTGTTTTGTAGTCTGAGTCAAATATGATTCGAATAGGTCATGCTAAGTATCATATTGCTACTTGCTTTTTTGTTTTTTTTGAGACAGGGTCTCACTATGCAGTTGAGACTGACCTGGAACTCACTATGCAACCCAGGCTGGTCTGAACTCACAGTGCTCCTCCTGCCTCAGCCTCCCGAGTGCTGGAATTACAGGCGTGTGCCACCACGCCCAGCTAGTACCTTCTTCATTTTTAATAAATAATATTCCATGGCATGGATATACTACATTTTTTATCCATTTGTCAGATACTGAACTTTTGTGTCTTCCACTTTTTGGCTATTATGGATCCTGTTCTAGTTGTTTTTTTTGTTTTGTGTGGTTTGGTTTGGCACCGGGGATCATCTTGTTGTTTTTTGAGACAGGGTCTCACTGCATAGATCAGGTTGGTCTTGAACTCACTACATATCGCAGACTGACTTCAAACTTGCTGGGACTACAAGTGTGTTGCACCACCCTCAGCTTCAATAAGTTCTTTACATAGGTTAATGCCTTTAATATTTATACTCTGAGGAGAGGATTTTAAAAACAAATGAGAACCATCAGGCACGGTGGCTCACGTCTGTAATCCCAGCACTTGGGAGGCAGGACTGTTGGGAGTTGAAGGCCAACCTGAATTACAAAGTGAGACCCTGTCTCAAAAAACAAACAAACAAACAAACAAACAAAAAAGCCAGGCATGGTGTATGCCTATAATCCCAGCACTCGGGAGGCTGAGGCAGAAGGATTGCTGCGAGTTTGAGACCAGCCTGGGCTACACAGTGAGTTCCAGAGCAATCTGAACTACATAGTGAGACCCTGTCTCAAATATACCCCCAAAAAAGAGGCTGTCTCAAGCAAACAAGTGAGAGTGAGACACTGTCTCAAAACCAAAAACAAAACATGAGAAACTAAAGCATGGAGAAATTAGGTAAACATATCTAAAATCATAGGCAGTTAAATAAATGCAAGCAGCAAGATTTGAACCCCGGTTAATTATTTTGGTCAAGTCAAATTCACAGTCTCAGAGACATTCACTTCCTTCCCTACCAGGGATGGAAAAACAGCCCAGTGACTTAACAAATCAGCTAGTGCAGCCTTATACAATGTAGGTTCTACTTAATCACCAAAATTTAGCTCCTCTTGTTTATTAGAGCTGTAACAAATACAATTTTTTTTCAGGGGGGGAAAAAAAGCAAAAACAATAATAAAAAAGTCTCAAGAAAGACATACAACATTCAGCATAAACCAGGAACAGGTGTTATTATAATTACTTAATAATAAAAATATAGTGCTTTTCCTCTAGAGCTTTTTCTTCCTTCTGTTTTTCTGTTTAAAAAAAAAAAGAAAGCTGGGCACAGTGGTATGCACCTATAAATTCCCAGGAGGCTGAGGTAGGAATATCACTTAAACCAAGGAGTTTGAGACCAGACTGGGCAATGAAGTGAGGCCCTGTTTTAAAAGCAAACAGACAGAGATTTAGCTTGGAGATTTAGCTCAGTGGCACCACACCTAACTGGCAAACATAAGGTCTTGAGTTTGATCCCCAGTCAAACAAACAGAAAAAAGTCCAAATGTCCACCGACAGACAAACAAAATGTGATACACATGCAATGTGTTCAGCCATTAAAAGGAAGGAAATTCTAACACATGCATGGATATACCATGACATTCTGCTAAGTAAAATAAACCAGACATAGCTGGGCGAGGTGGCACACGCCTGTGATCCCAGCACTCGGGAGACTGAGGTAGGAGGATTGCTGTGAGTTCAAGACCATCCTGGGCCACATAGGGAGTTCCAGGTCAGTCTTAACTACACAGTGAGACCCTGTCTCAAAAAATCAAAAAAATGCCAGGTGTGGTGGTGCACACATGCCTGTAATCCCAGCACTTGGGAGGCTGAGGCAGGAGGATCACTGTGAGTTTGAGACTAGCCTGGGCTACATAGTGAGTTCCAGGTCAGTCTCAACTACGTAGTGAGACCCTGTCTCAAAAAACAAAAAACAATACAAAAAAACAAAAAAAACCAAAAAACCGCTGAGAGGAACAGAATTAGGTGATACTGTTAGACAGTTGCAGTTAAAGATGAAAAGGTTTTGGAGAGAAATGGTGGTGAAGGTTGCACGAAAAGTAAGTGTATTTAATGCTGGTGAATACATTTAAAATTGGTTAGAATGATGAATTTTGTCAAGTATATTTTACTACAATTACAAAAAAACACAATCAGGTTAATTAGAAAATAGATGTATGTACATAAGGAAACAAAATAATAGGCATTCTATTCTGGTAAGTGATCTAAACTTATCCTGGAACCTCTATTATAATAGTTTTTCAAAAAGTAAACAACCAACAGGTTGAGCAAATGAATTTCTGAACATTGTGATTGATTGTAATAATATGCTCAAGGACAGCATTCTATCAAGAAACTATAGACAATAATAAGGAGCAAAAAAGCTAGTAAAAGATACATGTACAAAACACATGAATTGGTACTGAATAGCACTACATAAAATGTATAAAACAAAACAGTAGTGAAAAAGAGAAGAGAAATGTTTGATGAGCACAGATTACTGAAGAGAGATGATGCTTGATGCTTTACCCAGACCTTAAAAGAAAATGAGAACTTCAAATTAAGGATAAAAACTTCAAATAACACATATGAGAAACCAACAGAAAGAAAGGTGAGAAAGAATAAACATCATCTACAAACAGCAAACAATATAGCTGGGAAAATGAGACCCTTGTTGTGGGTGGAAATGGCAGAAGATTAGGGTGGAAAAGAAAACGGAGGTCAGGTTGTAGGAGGTTTTAAATGCCAAGCTAAGGTATTTATATTTTAACAGAAAAAGAAAAGGGTAACCAAAAATGTCCCTGAGGAAGATTTATGAGTGTGAAGAATGAGTGAGAATGGCAAAGATGGTAGGTTAATTAAGTAACAGACAAAACAGGGAAGTAATAAAGTTGAAGGCCTAAACTAAAGTAGTGACTAATGTAGAGACAGACATAAAGGAAATGGCTCAGTTAAAAAAGTTTAGATTTTCGTCCCGCTGTTAGAAAGTCCTCTTAGAGGGAGCCCATTTCCTCAACAGCAACTACAGCTGCAATTACTTGCTCATTATTTTTTTCCTCCTACAATATGAGCTCTATGACAGCAGCAATAGTGTAAATCTTGCCACTATATTCACTGGCACACAGTATTAAGTAATTTTTTTGAATCAATGTAGAATACACTCTTCCTTATTACACATACTCTTTTGAGGCAAGTAAGAACCTCACTCTAAATGTGGGAAGTCTGCGTGTTTTCCCAGACTTAGTATTTGAGTCATTATCCGATGCATATACTATAGTAAAATAGAGCCATTTCTGGCTGCATTTAAGTACATTTGTTTTTCACTTTAATTTGAGAAGCAAGCAATTTGCCACTGCCTGAATTCTTGTCCACATTAAGTTTACACACAATAAAAAATTCATACAACTATAACTTTAAAAAGCACTAAAATATACATTAGGTAAGCCAAAATATATAAAATAATTTTAAACATCAAATATTTGAAAAGTTCACGCACAAAATAGGTTTACAATACCTTAGGGGGGTTAAATGGATATGTTTCTGGTATTTTGATCTCTAGTTGATATCTTCCTCCTAGAAAATGGAGAAAACATAGTAAAGAATATTGCTCAAGTACATGAAGCTGAGTATAATATACTGATAGAACTTTTCCAAAACATGTGATTTTATATAACCAAAAGCCCTAACTTTTAATTTATTCTTTAAGTATACAGAATACCTATTTCATAAACTATACTATTGTATCAGTCATAGGGCTAGACACACATGAATGGATAAATCCATCATCTATTGCCAAATATTTCATTAGGACAATTAACTAGTAGTACAGGTTCTGTTCCCTTTTGTTTCCTCTAGTCCACCTGGACTAGATTGCTCAAGAACAGGAAAAATGGAAGGATAAGAATGAAAATAAAAAAGCAGGATGACAAAAAAGAATAACAAAGGATACAAATTATGCCACAAACTGAAGAATCTATTTCTATTTGGTTCTCTCACATTTAAAACATTTAGGGGCCGGGGACTTAGCTCAGTGGTTCCACCACCTGCCTTGCAAGCGCAAGGACCTGAGTTCGATCCCCGGTACCAAAACAAACAAACAAACAAATAAACAAATAAATAAAACAAAATATTTCAATCTTTTAACTTGTGCTCTAAGTTAATCAACATTTTTATTAAAAATTTTAAAACATGTACCAATAAACTCAATAAAAAGAAAAAAATTTTTAAACAAAATAGAACAACAGGCATAAAGAAAAAAATTATTTCCTTTCTTTAAATTGGTATACAGAATGCGCACATTACAAATAAAAGTTTTAACCAGTAAAACTCTATAGAAAGGCAACATTCTATTTCATTTTGAAATTATCTTGAGCAACCAGCAGCTAAGAACAGACATTAGAAAAAGCTTATCTAGTTTTCCACAACTGAGGTATTTAAGAGGAGAGCAAATGCTTTTTAAGAAACTTAAGGGGAAGATGTGAACGAACTGAGAGGCTTGATTAGACTCCTAACTCTTAAGGAATTTTCCAATTCTAAGATTTCATGACCCACTAACTTAGAATACTCACTATTATAAAACACAGCAAATAAAACTGTGCTCCTGAAATACATATGGAATTATAGGAATTTGCTTCATATATAATAATTAGGGACGGATTAAAGACTGGCCATGAGTTATTAAAGCTGGCTAAATATGCAAAGGTTTCATTATACTATTACTCCATATATATCTTAAAATTTTCATAAGAAAAAGTAAAATCTGTGCTGCTAATATCAAAATTTAATACACTGGGTGGATATGATAGTGCAATTCTATAATTCTGGCATTCTGGGAGGCTGAGTCAAGAGGATTATTAAATCCAAGCTCAGCCTGGACAACTTAACAAAACCAAAACCAAACAAACAAACAAACAAACCCAAAAGCTGGGGATGTAGCTCCGTACAAAGGCCTTGGGATCAAACCCTGATAACTTGGGTGGCGGGGAGAGACTTTCCCTAATATGTCCTGGATTCTTTCAGATCCACCTCCTCCATTGTTATTAATGGACAACTATGGATTTGGGAAAAAAATAAACAAGCATTTCACTTGTTACCATTTTTATTCAGAAGTGCTCTAGTTTTATTCTCTTCAAATTATTTTCAATACAGTACCCTCTATTAAATGATGCTTAAATTGAACTAGATGCCTAAATTATAGACTATGGTAGCAGTGACATATAAAGCAAAGCAGCCAAAACAAAAGGTAAAAAATGGCAGATAATAGAAGAATATCTATCTAAGTATATTTAATAAATACAGAAATACTATTAATTGCTAGATTTAAATACAGTTATAAATAGGGGTACACACCTGGAATTTCAGCCCTGAGGGAGGCTGGGGCAGAGGATCACAAGTTCCAGTTCCACCTGGGTAACTTACTGTGAACCTGTCTCAAACTTAAAACTTAACCATACAAAATTCTTCTCCTTTTGGGGCAGTGTTAGGGATTGGACCCAGGCTCTTTGCAACAAGCTTTATCTCTAGCCATTCTTTTAATTTTTATCTTGAAATAGGTTATCACTAAACTGCTAAGTTATTCAGGCTGAGTTTGAACTTGAGATCCTGCTGCCTCAGGCTCCTGGAATGCTGGAAACATGCCTGTCTTGTTCTTTCTTCTTAAATATCCAAAACAATCTTTTAGTTACAGTATGAGAACCCAGACATATTATATAAGCACTGCTGGGCCCTAGAGTCCATAAAACCTTACTTCTACTCCATGTTATATATGTTCTATCTTGCATTATTCCCAGACAAGTATCAATATATAACCACTATAGCATTAATGGTAACATTCATGTGTTGCTCAATGACAGGATGTGTTCTGAGAAATGCCCCATTAGGATGTCTTCTTTGTTCAAATATCATAGAATATACTTATACAAACTAGGACAGCTATGATGTCACTAGGCAACAATAA